ATATCATCCGCGAAAAATAGGAAATCGGAAGCAATTGATCTCGCCAAATCGTTAATGAACACCAAGTATAGACGAGGTCCAAGCATCGATCCTTGTGGTACTCCACACGCCACATCGATTGCATCGGACCATGATTCTCGGACTCCCACCGCTAGCCGTGGTTCAGGTAGAAAATTGTTATTCCAACTCAGAATTGGGTCGCCAATGCCGTGGCTCCGAAGCTTCTGAAGAAGAATTCGATGGTCTGAGCGATCAAACGCTTTTGAGAAGTCTAGGTAGATGACATCGACTCCTGCTCCATCATCAACAGTTTTAATCCAGCTATTACGTGGAATTAATAGGTTAGTATTACATGAATCCTTTTGCCCAAAGTCATGTTGCTCTGGGGCTATTACGTTGTGGGTTTCCAGATACTGCATCAGTGCATGTTTGATGATTGATTCCATAATTTTAGATAGTACGGGAAGTAGTGTTATTGGGCGGTAGTTGGCAAGATCAGTGCGGCTACCTCCTTTATGGATAGGAGTGATGACCCCTCGCTTCCATACTGGTGGAATATGGTTCTCTTGTAGACATCGCTGATAGAAAACAGCCAGTGGTTCTGCTAGAGCACTAGCTGCCGCCTGCAGAGTCTTTGTTTCGGTGTTGTCGACTCCAGGGGAACTGTGGATACGCAAGGATAACAACTTCTTCAACACATCTTCCGCAGTGAAGGTTATGTTGTCTAAACCCGACGGTGGAGTACTAGAAACGAGAAGAATATTCGGGCTGGTTATCTGCTGGAAACTTTGGGAGCAATTGAACCGTTGGGGAGCAGCTGCTTCCATTGCTGATCGCGTGCACCCATCAGCCGTGACTAGTGCTGGAACCCCCGCTTCACCTTTCGAAGGCCGTTAACGTGCCTGTACAGAAGTTTGCGGTTCGCGAAGAATCGCTTCATTAACTGCTGCTGATGCGTGACCTTGTCTTCGCAGATCAGTTTCACACAGAAGTTACGATGTGTCAAGTATGCAGTCCAGGTTTCGACATTCGGGCAGTCCTGGTGATCTCGCCATGCCGAATCCCTACGGGACATGTATTTACGTGTCCTGCTCCTCAGAAATGACTTACGCTTGTTTTTGGGTTGGAAGGACTTCTGTTCCGATGCACGCGCAACCAGTGTGCTAAACGTCCTAGTGAAGGTTTCCCAGGCAACGTCTGGGGGACATTAGGTTAAAAAAGTCCAAGGTATATCCTTAACAAGCTTTGACAACACATTGTAGTATGTGACAGTATGCACTTTATCCTCCGCCTTTTCATGGTACTCCGCATAGCATATATAGTCAAAGAGTAGAATAACATGATCACTACGACCAAGTGGTGTGCTTGTAACTATCCCGCCAACCATGAGTTCTTCATTAGTTAGCACAAGATCCAGTATCGACGGCTTGTTAACAGTTCGAAATCTCATGAAAGAGTTTACGTGGTTGTACACAGGGTGGCTAGCAATTAGCTCTTGCAAGCAAGCTTTAAACTACTTACTGTCGGTTGCCGGCGCTTCTATGTCGGGCACATTAAAGCCTCCAGCGATGAGAATGTGGGGGTAGGATTTGTTCAGAGAAAACTGAAAGACATGTTCAGGGTAGAATTCATTTCCGACATTGAGTTTGGTGGGCGATAAATCACGGCTAGTAGACATGTGTCCCCGTTTCGCAACCATAGGCGGCACCAAAGCGAATCGGGAGCTCGGATTTCCGGGTGATCGATAAATTCACCTCGAGGTTGGCATTTTAGTAAAGAATCACACCACCACCCCTACCGGTGGCGACATACCGAGTAAAATGATCTCAGTATCGGTTACCTCAAGGTTTAACTAGGTCTCTATAATCATGACGAGGTCCCACGGTTGTGATGCATGGAGTTCTCTAAGTTCGACCAACTTACCTAGAAAACCTTGGGCGTTTGTGTACATGCAAGATAGGGCTTCTGCTGTTAGGAGTGCGTTGATAGATGTCGACTTTGTGTTAGTTTTTAAGCCGGCCGTTAGTTGACCAGTCATTAATCGTTTCTTGGTTTATGAATTTCAGTCAATTTGCATGGCATCATTGAGCGTTCCTGAACAGTCATTTCACTCGTGCTGTGCTCTGTCCTGTTGTGTGCCGTGAGCGCTGTTGTGTCGGTCTCTCCGCAGGACTGTATCGATAAAGTTCCATCGAACTGCTCCCAACTTTTGGCCCTTCTCCTACCGTCTTTAGCAGGAGCTCTGTTGGCTACCTAGCTAGAAACTTTAACCAGCTATCCAGCAGAACTTGTGCCAGTCCCTCGGCGGATAATACTACTTTCATTAGTCTTGGACGGCAGCCCTTGTATTTAGGTGATAACGGGACTCTTGTCAGGGAGTTGGAAATAACCTTATCAATAGAGTGTGCTTCGCGGTTGTAGCGCCACTGCACTCGGTCATGAGTTTGTGCATCGTGATCAGAAGAATGCAGTAGCTCGGGAAAGCCATGAGCAAATATTGTTTCCTTCCTATACCTATTAGGAGTGCAGTGTTGGTTAACTGCTTCGTTTGGGCGAGCTTTCCAAGGTAGATTAGGTAACATGCGCAATCCGCTCGGTGAGTTGAGAAGACGAACTGCTGAGAGCAGGACAGCCTCTGTCTCATCTGCTGAGTCTAGTGTCACTAGAAGAATTTGAGGTTCACTATAGTGCACTGTGGTCGGGTGACGCGCCACGTGTTGCAGCTTTGCAGGCTCAACCCAAATGCCAATCGCCTCGCAGATGGAACTCCACTGGTTGCGATCGTCTTGCAACTTGCTTTTTATTGTGTCAGGTTAGGACTCTGGAACATTGGTGCACACAAGAGTTAATGCAGCATGGTTTTGTCTAGCGAGCGTTGGCTTTGTAGTTTTGCCGGCAATTTGCGTGATTTAGAAGGCACCACTGGAGTTGACGGTGTAGGCTGCTTTGCGCCACGCGGCTCGGTACAGAAGATGGACCTATGTGTGTCGATCCCGGTGAGTTTGTCGAGGCAATCAATGCGTATGTTACCTGCTTGTTATCTGCACCGGATTGCCTTCGGCGCTGAGCTGTCGGTGTCATGGCTGAATCTCCAAGTGAAGCATCTATGGTTGGAGATGTAGAAGCAGGCATGTTTGAGGACTGTCCACTTATGGGAGTGAGGTGACCCAGTGGATTTAGAGTCACAGACGCTGCAGTGCGGTTGGAGCGTCTAGCTCTCTTCTTCGGCTCAGATTCAGAGCTTACTTTAGCTGGATGAGGCATTATCGTGGTCATATTTACCTTCGTGGGATCGATCTTAGTATTTACAAACTGGGCGATTATCTCAGTCATTCTATCGCAATTTTTCATGAGCAAAGATGAACAGTTGACAACTGGAATGACTTGACATGTTGAGCAAAACCAAATTGTGTCAGCAACTTTGTTTGTCCGTCTCACTTCTTGGACGGATTTGCCTATACATTGCGGACCGTACGATGGAATGCAGCTAGAACAGGTTACACTGATCTTAAGGACTTTACTGCAACTGGCTGAGCAACATAGGCGACGTTGAACCACTGGAATGCTAGGCGTCCTCATCGTTCACAGCACGGCCTATCTAAGCACTCAGCTTGATGAGCGTTCATTGCACCAGGCGTGGCGCACAAACAGGTCAGAACCCGCAAACGAATTGAGAGTTGTTCAACCTCAACAAGGTCAGGCGGTGGAGTCAGCTGGAGGTCGTAACGTACAGAGTGTGGGGTTCAGCGATCAATCGACTCGCAGTGGTACACACACACCCACACAAAGCGGCAGCCGGTGTTAATCGGCCTGCCTTAACCGACGATGTAGGTGCAACGCTACTAAGCGTCCCTAGAACTGCTCAGTTGATGAGCAGAGCAAAAAGGCTGTAACTTTGTTATGTTGCAACTTGCAGGGATGGTTGCAGCGTAGTTTGGGAGCCCTCAGCTTCTTCTTCCGAATGAGACGAAAATCTTTTCCGAAAAATTGGTTTGCTGTAGTTACACCAGTGAAACTCGGCAAATACTATGCCGAAAACTTGGAAGTAGAGCAAGAGTATAATCCACACAGGTTAGATCCAAGAATTGAGAAGCACTGTGTAGAGCTCGTCGAACTGGTTCGAACGAGCGCGCACACAATATTGTGTGAGGAGAATTAGAGTGGCCACAGAGGGCAAAGCGAAAGCCGAGTTACAGTGCGGTCGCACGGCTTTTACACTATATCGTTGAATGAAAGTTTACCCATCAAAACAAAAGCTACCAATATGACCGCTAGAAACCACAGATTTATGTCTGTTATGCGTGGCGGATAGCTGAAATTGTGTTGATCAAGGGAGGGGGACCGTGAAAAATGAAGAGGCTTAAAAGGGGGCCATGGCTGAATAAATGTTGAGAACGCTTGATGTAAACTAGAAATTCAATGTAAATACATAAGAAATGACGGCGAATGGGATGTTGATAAAAATCGTCTCCTTCTAGTGATCACATACAGTACATACAGAACATACAGTGTTTCCAGATTAGACGAGTAAATGAACCTTCGCAATGTAATTCAAAGGGTAACCTCGTATAGCTCGGTGCGCGCGGTAGAGTTTAGCTAAGAGGTAGCGTCTGGTTGTTGACTCGTTTGTGTTGCGGTGGAGTTGCGAGTATCCAATGGCTAGGAGAAAATAAATTGAAAAGCCGTGGAGATACACACTACCAATGATTCTCCCAAAGATGAAATATCCTGCTGAACTTTTTCGAATAACGCTTTTTCTCCTGGCTGCCTTTCGTCGGAACACTCAACCACGGCAATACGGGCAAATTCAATAAGTGGACAGAAGCCACCCAAACACTGGAAGCATAACGGAAATTGACGTATATCCCATAAAAGTTGAGTATTGAAAAGGGCAAAGCACCAACAAAGCTAACTGGTGTCAGCGTCTTTTGCCATTTATATGCAACAAGAACAGAAGCTGCACTTTAATGACACTAATCTATAATTTGTTATTTTAACAGGAAATGTGCCCAAGTGAATCAATGGAATTTGTCTCGCCAGTTCATGGAAGCCCACGATGTTGTCGAAAGTGTGCTCCCTCAACTGGAATGTTGCTTCTGTGCACCGACGTGGAAGACACCAAGTGCGTGCCCTGCGAGCCAGGACTGGAATTCTCCTCTGTGTCGAGTGCCACCAGCAAGTGCCATCAGTGTCGTCGATGTCAAGATGTGAGTGTTGTTTAAGTTTGTTCATCATCACAGGAATCCTGTGAAAGTATATTGAGCTTTCCTTTACCGTCGAGTTCGACACATCAGACGAACGAAAATTTTGAGTTGTGTCATAATAAATAACGCTTCGAAGAAAGTGATCGTTTTTGTGTGAGTTACACTATCATGTCGGGATATAGAAAAAAGCCGGAAAACGGGGAAGTTTCACTAAAAGCCCAAGACATGAAGTTTATGCGGCAGCAGAATTTCATTCTTTACCATGGTGTTATTGGCTGTGAACATTTTAAAAACTACTTCGTTATGCTTTTGTGATAATCTATTTCATTAGTCATCTTGTCATTGGCGTGTGTGTTACAGAGGAATATTTCCCGTTCGTGAATTCATAAAGCATACCGTTGACTTCACTTGACTCGAAATTTGTTTCCATTCGAAGTTTAGCTGTGCACATTATCCGATTGAGGATTTCGCTACAAAATTGCTCTGAAAGTGCTGTAGGCTTATCTGGATGGATTTTGTCGACGAAGACAACCAGAGTAGGAGAAACACGACAAGTATATAAAAGCATTAGAATAGCAAGATAAGTAAGTGGATTATGTTTCCGAAAAGTAGTGACAAGTTGTGCTTGGAATAACCCAGAACAGAATTAACTGCAGCTTTCATTGTTGTCAGAGCGACCAAATCACTGTAGTAGGTTTTACTCAGTAGGTTGGGCGGTGTGGTGTAGAGTATCTTTGTGGCTGTTATCCCATCCTAGGACACTCGACTCCAAAGCGCTAGAAGGGGACGCGAATGCATGCGAAGAATAGATCTCACCCAAACGGCCCTTTCACGGTAAATCATTTCTTATGATAGCGAATGGTAGGACAAGTCTAGGTTCCTTAGATAGCCTTTTGTAATGCGTCTATCCTTGCTGAACTCGGCGGTAAGAAGAATCCAATGGATCAACGAATATTAACCAACGCCCACTGGTATGTAATCTTGAACCCACCCAATAATTCCGTCCAAACTCCACTGTGCAGTCCGAATAGCAACCTACAGTAACAGTTCTGTATGGGAAGTGAACTGATACCCAGCAAATGTACCACGGATAAGGCAGTGAAATGGCATATAAGCATGACTGTTTCTGTCTCATCATCTTCTGTGCAATGTCACTGTGACCTGAGGGTAGACAGGGGTGATTACGGCATTACAGGTGTGGCCTTAACATAACCGGTTACTTCATGTTAAGCGATGGTAACACCTTGCTGTCCACTGAAAACCACACGTGCACTGGATTTTTACTCTCCATTTTAGATTCACCCACTTGCAAAAACTCGTAAAACATGCACACCCATTGCGGACACAGAGTGTGCGTGTGCAGAAGGATATTATATGTCAATCACTCACCAAACATGCAGGCCGTGTAGCGTCTGCAAGTCAAATGAGACTGTTTTGAGGTACGTTTCAAGTGAATTGCGTTTGACCTCACAAGATGAGACCCATGTATACTGTTTACTGATTGTCGTCAAGATTTCAAGTCCAACTTTTTCGGAAGTAGCAGGTGAAAGTTCAGCGCGAAAAATATAGTGTCCAGCACCTTCAGCTCCTTACAACCTTTAAAAGAGGCATTGTAAACCGTACTTTACCAGGGGCACTTGCTTTGTTTGGAACTCATTGAAGATAGATCCAAAGTTTTCGATCCTTCTAGAGACCGTGGAGACAGAGCGCACTCGAATATCTACAAGTTTTATATCGGAGGAAATTGGCAAGGCTGGTTGAGTGCGACGTCATTTTCTGCACATAAACTGTTCGCAATAATCTATTACTCACGTAAATGCCGATCGCACTACCCATTATTGGTACGGCTAAAAAATCAAGTAGTACACAGACGTGGTAAGCGAAAACACCGATTAAATGTCAAGCGGCAGAGTTAAATGGACAGTTGATACTAAGAAAAAGCACCCATTCAGTTGAGCAATATGCACACGCTTATTTTGGATATATCTACAACGCTTCTGACAGAAAGTAATGGACCGACTTACAGTTATGCTGAGTCCAGGATATTTCTTCTGCTGGTTAGTAAACCACAAATAAAGGGACAGTGGTTAATCCAGAAACAAGGTTGTACCTGTAGAGCAGAGTTGGAAGCGTGCTACCGAATGGATGAGGCAGTAGTATGCCAAAAGATAAGGCAACTCGTCACTGTCGTGCGTGGGTGTGTTTGTATGTGATCCAACTAGAGGCTTTTCAATCGAAGCTACAAGTAGGACCGCTTAAGTGTAAATCCTGGATAAAGGACGTAATAATACTGTTAGGCCTTCCCTGCTACTTATAACAACGAAAATGTTTGAAATAATTTGATGCGATGGATACGCCTAGTGGAATTGCCTGCAATACCAACCTGCCTGGGGGATACACTCCCGAACGAAGTCCCCAAACAACGGTTAAAACGGCTGTATCCCATTCTGGGCATCCAATGCAACTTACACCACTCTCTCTATCAATTCACGCGGAAATCAACATTCGAAAGAAATAAATCTCAAGCAGGCCAGTTGCAACTAAATATTTCCCATCATTCGCTTGCGGGCCATGGGAATCCATTCTCCGAAGACTTGGCGAGCAAACGAAAAAGGGCCACATTCAACTGCGATTAATGTAAAAACAATCGGTTCGTTGGCAACTAAATTTCGAACGCAATATCAGTTATGTATTTGTGCATATGCCCTATTGCTATGCAATTCTAACTCCGTCAGACAAATTTACTAACCCAACAAGTAAAGAAGACAACTCATTATATCACGAAACTTCATGAACGTCCCCAGTTGCTTTGTTATCACAAACCACAGAGCAAATTATGTTTGACACCTCCTTGATTGTATATTACTGATCATGCCTTCTCTGGTGTACCTCTTGCAAAATCCAGAATATACCTCATCTTAGTTTAACTTCTGTACATGCGCTAATATTCAGCTTCCGTCTTAGCATTCTATCATATCCTTCACTGATGATGTGATGATAGAAGAAACATTTTTTCGATGACTGTTCCATGCAATCTCAAACCGGGATATGATATTAGTCAAAGCAATTTGAGGCAAAAGTATGACATTTCGGACAGTTGCCTTCAATTAGAGGAAACCGTGATTAAAAGGCATGTATTGCATTCACTGGTATTTGCACATCAGAAAATCTGCGTCATGCTTAGTGGAACCGGTTTATTTTGATACCGTGACCAGAAAAGTCTATTTCTCAAATCTTCGTTTCAGGTCTTGCAGTTGGAACGCAGATACACAATGTCAAGCCTGTCCCAGTGGATTTTCGACTAATGCACCCACAGGCGATAAGCAATGTGTGCCTTGTCAAGATTGTGACGTTGATCAACCGGTGGCGCGCAAATGCACAACGAGAACCAACTCCTCATGTTGTCCTGAGACCACGCAGCTTTGTTCCTCGTCTACCAAGCTCCAATCACCTGGTAAGTTCCAAAAAAAACCTGATCACAACTTCCCGCAACAGTCTGTCCGTGCATCTAAAACAGTTAGTTTGTGTGCTTAACTGGGCGGCTGATCCGTTGGCACTCTCCTACAGATAAGTGAAAGTCATTTGCATTGGTCTGTCGCTGCTTTGCTGAACTTCATACTTTCTATTCGGATGGCGCTTGACCGTCATCAGCAAATCTTGGCATGAGAAACGAAATATGCTACTTAAGCTTGAAACGTCCAAAACATTCACCTTGGATAATCTCTACTATAATGGGAAGGGGTAGTAGCAAGTGAAAATGCTGTAATTGAATACCGTCCCCTACACTCTCTGACACCATGTCGCAGTGACTGATCACCAGATATTTATGCGCGAGGCGTCCATGTATTTCAGTGCAGTGGAGTTAGATTTCATTTGGACCTTACTGCAAATGGGTGTTGACAATGTATGGGAAGTGCATCGCCTGTTTCTGGTGGTTGGTTGTTACTAATAGCATTGTTGAAAGGTCCAAAAGATCTCGTTTCGATTCAATCTCAAGTTCAGGACGAGGTTAATTCGGAAACATTGGGCACTGTTCCGAGATTTGGTTTAAACAGGTTATTTGATGTTCATATCAATTACCAACTATAATGCTATAGATCGGAGAGACGCTGAGAAATTCTCTTAAAATCGGGTTCGCGCGGTTCTCCAGCTGGATGAGACCCGCTGCACAGCAGGAGCATGTGAGTCAATGTTAGCTCCTGGATGGGCAACCTAACTCTGATGAGTTGGTTGAGTGTGGTATTATGCTATTGGGGTAGATTTTATAATAAGCAGGTTTAGCCCTGCATCAAGGTTCACTTTCGAACAGTGCTGATCTGATAAACGCACAAGAGTAAACAGGGTGCTAAGGTGGCTACTGTCCTAAAAGCAGGTGTACTGATTCTCCTATGTACTGCTGGGCGAAGTAACACCTAATTGGTGGTTATCGATGCATCGGCAGTGATCTTGGCTACATATCTAGACTTATTTCAATTTGATCCGTTAAACCATTCCATAGCTACAGCAGTTTGTTTAAGGTCGTGTTTTAATACCTTCTTCCGTTAGAGATGGAGCGAGATTTCGAATACCGGTCGGATATTAAATTTCGTATGAAACTCAATAAGTCTGTCACCGAGATATTTGAAAATTTAACGGAAGTTTATGCAGAGGTTACTCTAATGAGAAATATGGTTTTGAGTTTGTGCAAAGCTATCGCAGATGGTCGAGAAAATGTTGAAGATGAAGCTCGTTCCAGTAAACCAACTTTGTCAACAAACGAACAAAATGTGATAGTTGTGCCAGCTGTGATGGTGAAAGACCTCCGAATGAGTGCCATTTGGATTGCAGAAGAAACTGGCTTGGATAAAAATGCAGTTCATATAATTTCAACAAACAAAGATGTCTTGGAACAACTTTGAAAACGGGTCCAGTAATTCCAAAGAGACATTGAAGATGATTGGATGTTGCACCTCGATAACTCGCCTACTCACACAGCACATTCAGTTTCAGAGTTTTTGGAGTAGAAAAACATCCCCAAACTACCACAAGCTTCTTACAGCCCTAACATAGCTACATGCGATTTCTGCCTCTTCCCTTAGTTACAATCTAACTTGCTAGGTCAGCATCATAGAACCGTGAAAACATAACGAAATTGTAACGGATAAACTACTCTTACGGGTAATGACTTCCAGTACTGCTACGATCAAAGGAATAAAGGTTGGAACCACTGTGCAACTTCCCAAGAGTCATATTTTGGAAGAGTTAACTTGTAAGTTTGGGTGACCCTTATATACATTTAAATAAAACTTCAGCACTTAAGAGAGTTTCATCGCAGTCAGTTTCCAAATCAGATAGTCGTCCACATGCCCGGAAAGGCACTAGACTACTCATATCACAACTTCAGTACGCCTACTTTTGGGGCACAAATGTACATCATCCTTATGACAGCGGGAAAAGAAGATAACAATTGCACACTAGTACAATATGGGGGTAGGAATTAAAACTCAGCAAGTGCTGGAGGATGGTTTGGGTGAAATACTTCAGTTAAAAGAAGAACGCTACCAACAGGATAGATCGCGCATCTATGGACTCACAATGATATTCACATTGACACAACTGTATATCCGTCTAGCTCGATTTCATGGAAAAGTTGCAAGCGTGGTAGTTACTTGTGTCTTCTTGTTATCCGATGAACACGAGTCATGGCACGTAATGCATACTGAATCGTCGAGTCCTTTTTTAATGGAAACCTTGGGAGCTGAAGTAGCACAGGTTGCAAGGGGGTACTTCAGAGCCATTCAAACTGGCTGCGTTGCGTCACCATCTTTAGTTATCAGCCCCTTAGGCTAATGTTATGGTAGTTTTCGGTGAAGGTAAACGTAACTGGGTTATGTACATAAGCGGATATATCAAGATTAAGTCCTTCTGTAGATTACTATATTTAAGATGACCATGCGTCTTGAGTTAGGCTGGACAGTCCCGCATTTTAAGCTGTCGTCCCACTTTTATGGCAACGCTGGGAGGGACGCATTAATGTCCTTCGTTGAGGTCGGAGAGTTCAGTAAGTCCCGCCTTGCGCAGGTAGAATGTAGGTGAAAAATAAGACAAAACCTATCAGTAGCGATACACACACACCAGAAGACCAAACTAGGTGGGCGAGTCATCAGTTGGGCGGGAAAGTCGACCGCGTGGATGGGCAATGCGGTAAGGTGATTTTTTACAACAATATAAAAGGAGGAAAGAAAGATGATGATGCAGTTTTTGCGCCTTTGGTGGAGAACACTTGGATTAAGTACATTTCGGTGGGAAAATCATCTCTAAACGAACGTGCAAGATGACTACTCAAGTAGAGGGTGATTTTCTATTTATTAAGAAGGCAACACGCGACAACATTTACATCTACGCTGTTCGTGTTGATGAACTAAAGGAAATCTGTGACTGCAATGGTGGAATACGAAGGCATTCTAGAATACGGAAAAACCAATAGTGCCAATAGTGGATCGAATTCTGAAGCTATTTTCAGAGTTACAATTCTAGTTTTTGTCCCCACACAGCTGTCCTACATTATTACAATGTTTCCTTGAAAATCCCTGTGATGGACTGTGGCTCTTCTTTATACACAACATATCTGGCATTTTTATGCTACTGAGAAACAATTTGTTTCAGCACTGAAAGAGTCGTCTGCAATGTGTGAGCTCCTGTAGAAGTGCAGGGACAGGAGCTTTGTTCCAAACGAGCTACAGGTCTGAATTGGTCAATTAGAACAAGCGGGTCTCATCAGCAAACAGATGTGATGAATATTATCAGCAGCTTCTACAACATTTGCGTCAATTATCTACAGGAAAAATTAACCGATTTCCAGAACTGAGTGGCTTCAGTTGGGTGGCATTAAAACAACCACCGTCCTGGGAAGAAGTTGTAGCAAGCGTCAGTATTCTTAAAGTCTGCAATCCCAGGCCTTGAAATCAATGACATTGAGCTGTTTGACGAACTTAACAACGCGTGTAGGTTTACATCAGCAGACGAAATGTCCGATTGGAACTGTAAACAACTAAAGGTTGACATGCGGTGATTAGAAGTATTTCCCCATTTCCCGGCCAACTCGGTCTCATATGAATAAATGCCAAACTTATTGAATTTTTCTCTGTCTCCCTATGACTAACCGACCTACTGAAAGAATCTTGTCACACATAAACACAAATGGAAAAGCAAGAAAACGCAGCTTAGCGTTCAAATGCTCAAAGCGATGCTTATCGTGAAATGCAATTTTGATGACAAGAGCACCGGGTATCCCTACCAAAGAATTCCTGACATGCTGATGCAGCGCGCAGATTTACTACGAAAAATGCATTCATCTGTGAAGTATTTCTGTACAATTGTGCCTCCAGATGGTACAGTGTCAAGGAACACATCAACTTCAATAGCGCAGCCATTGTACTGACGAAAGAAGTAGGCACTCTTTGTTATTACAGTGAAGTAATACATGTACTTGCTCAGCTTTTCACTTTTTGTACGGTCTGCATATGTTGTAACAATGGGGAGAGGGTAGGTCAAGCGTCCCGGTTTGGCCCGCGAAATATCTGATGTTAGCTATACCTTACATTTTTCATTTTTGCCTTTCCCTCTCTTTGTTCAAAGTGATGTGGGAGACGGCAAGCTGTGAGTTCCGGCCTCTGTCAGGGTAGCCACGCCTGAATGATTCACCCCGCATGGGCTTTCGTCTTCTGATAGTCAAATGTTAGGCTTCTGAATAGTTAACTGTATTCAGTTACCTGTTTCACTGAACGTCTCCTCCCCTTTGAATACTCACTGTAAAAGTAGAGAAAAACATTATTTCCTCAGTGGTCACTGAATGGACACTAGTCAGACTTAAAAGGTGACCACTTGTATAGAGTGGTGTTCAACATGTTTAGGTTATTTTTATGCAACGTTACGATCACGATTCATTTAGGGCAATCTGATTGACAGTCGCCCGATATACCACCTATGTAAGGTTGTACGTGTCAACGAAAAGGTTAAATCATTTATACGGGTTGGAAGCTGTAACCGATGTAGATGGTTTGCGAATCCGAACATGGTGTATCCTTATTCGTGTCTGTACTGGGAAGAATAAGGAACCACGGTGGAAAACATGGACCGTCGGATCTTTCTTAAATGTCATTTCAACCGATTAGCCGTTTTGGAACCAGTAGTAATTCAACAGGGAGTCAAATGGAAGTTTCACTGGAATGAGACAAGGACGTGCTCCAAATTTAGAAAAGCCAACTACGTGTCACATAAAAGGGAGTAAGATTCATCCACCCTTTTGCAACACACTGTTTGTTAGGCGAAGCACATCAAGGATGGGAATGGAAGTGAGCAGGAGGAAAATCCTCTTGTATACTCTTTCTTACCTAGCGCTTAACGAATCTGGACAGGCGAATGTGTCTGTGTGCAAAAGAATTCCGAGCCGCATGCCGTTCTGCTTACACAGTC